CCCCCCCCCCCCCCCCGGCAGGGCCGATCGGCGTCGCCGAGCCCACAAGTGGTGCTGCTGTTCGGCAGCCCCAGCAGCTAAGGGGCTGCTGTTGCAGTAGCCGGTGGCTAAAAAAAAATTTTTTTTTTTTTTGAAACCTTTTTTTTTAATCAGATCTGTAAATACCTTAATCCCAAAAAAATCCGAATTAGGAAGAAAATCTTAAACATTATCATAAAATCATGCTAAAATCCATAATAATAACATGCTAATTCCATGAAAAAATAATACCAAAAGTCTAGATCCATAACATAATATGCTTTAATTTCATAACTTTGCATGAAAATTCAAATAATCCATAAAAATCAGAATTAAGAACTTCAATTTCTCACGAATTTCAACTATGGATTGGCTCTGATACCACTTGATAGAAAAATATAATAGAATTATCGATCAAAACAATAATCAAATCATTAATTCTCAATAATAACCATAGATCTTACTCCATGTTGAAATCCGGAAAAATAACAAAACATAAAAACATACCTTGATCCATGATAACCTGATTCTTTTCCTTGATAGGTTAGGCTCTTCCAAATGATTGATAATCTTCCCTTAGCTTTTGCTCTTTATTGATGAGGATGTAGAGAAATTTGAAGAACACTAACAAATGGGGACCATAACCATATAAAATAATAGTAGTAACTCAATAGTCACTATCTTTTAGTTGCTTCAAATTGGCCCCTCATCAATTTAAAACAACACTCCAGTCTCCACACTATAATTCCATAAATTCTAATACCCATTAATCACAATATATCTTTATCGGATCACTTTAATTTACTAATGTCATTTAAACAATAGCACCGCACATTTCAATATACAACGTGTGGCCCCATATATGTTGAAATTATCCAACATTTATTTGTAGCTCCTTATTTTTTATTGTACTATTTTTTATATGTTTCAAAGTTCCAACTTTAAAATTCTAAATTAGACTTTAATTTTTGTTGGATTACACTATTAAGATATTTTATCATTGCAAGGGGAAATTGTACTTGGGGTATACTATGTTCATGAACAGAGAGCTATTTCTTAATTGCTATAAGAAACTATATGAGGTGTTTATTATCTTGCAATGGTTATTAAAGGACTATCTACAGTAATTGTTGGGCTTTTGGGTTGCCAAACAACCTAAGGGCCGATGATGTACATTAGTTGGACTTTATATAAGGGAAAATGGGAAAATTACACAATAGCCGGTGTTTAAAATTCACAATTCAATAATCAGGCCTAAAGTTTTTTTATTCATAATTCAGGAATCAATATAATATTTAAATATTAAATATCTTCACCCAATTATTCCAAACCCTACCATCTTCTTCCTTCTCTCTCTACATTCTCTCCCTACATTCTCTCCCTTCTCTCTATCACAAATAACCGGTGATTCATTGCCCGTCGGAGATCGCCGCCGACGAACACTCTCAGGCACGGAGAAGCTGTAATGAAGAGGAGATCGAAGATCACTGCTTGCGGCTCTGTACAGATCGGCGGTGGTGGTGGTTCTCCGTGCCTAATCGACAATGGTGGTTGCGGGTTTGTGCGCCGTCGCCACCAGCTGTAATGAAGAAGGGATCGGAGCGTTCGGTGATTAGGTGTTGCGGTGGTGAGATCTGCTTGCGGTAATGGTTGGTTCGGTAATGGTGGGTTCGACGCTCAAGGCGCCACCACCGCCTTCTCTCCTCCGACTACTGTACCTGCTTTTGTTTCTATTGTCAATTGGCCTCAGGCTTCTGTCTCCGCTGTGCAGTGCCTTTCCTTGCAGCGCCGTGCGTGGTGGTCGGTCGGCGCTGTGTTTTGTTTTTTTTTTTTTGTGGAGTGAGGACGACTGGATGGTGGTGGAGCGCCGTTGGTGTTGATGATGGTGGTGGCACCGTAGGGAGTGGAGTGGGGTGGGGCCGTGGTTAGTAGTGTCAACGAGCCGAGCCCAAGCCTTTTGGGGCTGAGCTTTTTTCGAGCCGAGCCGAGCCCGGCAAAAAAAAATGCTTGACCCGAGCCATAGCGGGCCGAGCCGGCTCAAAGTTTTTGGTTTTTTTTCTTAGCTGCCTGCA